CAGATCACAGTCAGCTAAAGTGGCCTGCAGTACTGCACCCTAACCACTGCGCCACCTCGGCTCTTCTCATTAGGTGAAGAATAAAACTAGACAGATAGATAGGTAGATAGGCAGGCAGAGAGACAGAAATATGGAGAGGGAGATGGAACAATAGTAAGTTATTATACTTCCTTTGGGGGGAGGGGTAAGGTTTAGTTTTTGAACTCCATGTCTGGTGGTGGCTCATCAACCAACCACTGAGTGACGTTTTTTGCACTTTCCTATTGGCCAGCTGGTGGGAAAGAAGAGAAACAATACTAGGCTTATGGCGTTCTCTTTATGTCAGCGTCATTATAGTATATACAATCAAAGATCAGTTTGAAACTATTGGGAAGTTTGTTCAGCTTGTGTCATGAATGGGGGGAAGGACATGCTACACTGTGAAGGAAGGAGTTTTTAGAAACTCTGTGTAGATGTGCCTTCCAATTGCCATTGCTGGTTCCCTGATGCAAGAGTTCTACATTGAAAGGGGAGGGGAGGGGATAGACTGTGTAGGTTCTTAAGTGTTTGGGTAAGAAGACCTTCAAGATCTTTCATGCAACTGATGATGTCTTCAAGAGCCTGGTGAGTTTTAAATATGCATCCACACAAACAGCAGAAATATATACCCTAATACCAAATTCGGAAGTCTCAAGATTAGAATAGCCATACCAACAGCTCTTAGACTTACATACCACTTAGATACCATAAAGCTTTATAGCCCTCTCTAAGCATTTTGTAGAGTGAGCATATTGCCCTCAACAATCTGAGTCCTCATTTTTCCAGCCTTGGAAGGATGGAAGGCTGAGTGAACCTTAAGTCAGTCAGGATCGAACTCCTGGCTATGGGCAGCCTGCACTACTACATTCTAACTATGCCACTATGGTTTTTAGCTAAGTTCTTTCTGCCACAATAATTGTCAAGCTCATCCCCCGAAGATTTTGAGAAAACAGGTTTATTCTTCATTGCCTGGAGCAACTTTTGCTATGAGCTTCTCGGTTTGTAGATTTTGTGTCCCAAGTCCACTGTTGAACATGCAGTTTGCTAAAACCTTACCTATCAGTCTGTGCACTCTCTAGACTTCTCCTAGGCTTCCACGCATCTAAGGGCACCAAGGTTAGAGTATATTTTCCTTGCAATTTCCCCTTTGCAATTGATTTTGCTGTCAAGAGAAACATCATTGGTTATCTAATATATTTAACTACAATTTTTCAATAAAAGACATGGGGAAGATTTTTGGAGGATCCCTTTCCCTCCAGTTTCAGTCAAATAGTTAAACCAGACTTCTGGAATATTTACCTTACCTAGAGGTTGGGAGTGCCGTTTGCTGTTCTGCTTTAGGCCATAAAGTGTCATAATTCAGGACTGGAATGAATACAGAGAAGAAAATTATTATTATAATTATGGACGGTTTTAACTATAAATAAGAACATTTCTTGGTATCTGTATAAATATATTAAAACTAGCTGATAACCCGGCATTGTCTAGGTATTTATTTATAGGGGGGAAATGTCTGGACCAAACATAATTTCTAATGTTGGATTTTCCCCCTTACCAGAGGGAGCCCCCTTGTGGCGTACTGTGAAGCTGTTACCATGGCAACTCCACAGCACTGTACAATAGAAGTCATTTTACAACAGTACAGTAGAAGCCATTTGAAGGCACAACTGGCTGTATTGTAACAGAACACACACCTAGAGGGGTGTTAGGGGTGTCTTACCCCCACAGTATTTGTTTCCAGAGAGTAAGTCATATGTATACCAAGTTTGGTTGAAATTGCTCGAGGCAAGTTCCAGAGTTATGCTGAAACACACACACACACACACACACACACACACACACACACACACACACACACGCACACTAGTTGGTAAACATTATGAAGATGCACATTATGATGAAATACCATTCTATTTTTTTGGTTAAGAATGTCTGTATTTTTCATTGAATTAACAGAAGAATTCAGTGCCCCTTGCATTTGTGTAGCTGTTGAGCACAGCTGCTAATATAGAGTGTCCAGAGGTCAGAATATTCCCAGCGTAAAGTCTCTGAACAGATCTTCAGCTGTTCAAATAATGCAGTTTTTCTTATAGTCCTCCTGCTGAGACAGTTCTTTGAGAGCCTAAAGAAACAAGTGCAATATAGAAAACTGACAAAAGCTTCATTTCCAACATTTTTTTTACAAGGGATCACAGTTTGTATGATTGTCTTAAAGAAAGAAAGCTATTTCATACCTTCATACCCATAATGTACCCACAAAATTGTTGATTCATTTAACCGGAAGAGGCCATTGTGCAGATAAAACCTAGAATTATTCTCTTCCAGCTATGTGAATTTGTGCCTTTCAAAAATGTCTTCTCAAAGCAAGATAATTGATAAGGCAAATGTAGCTGTCAGGTATCAAAAGCTGAGATCAAGTGGATCAAAATACCATTTTAATCTCTAATTCACATGTTCAGCTATATCACAGTTTTCTTAATTATGGTTTGATTCCAAGTCGGCTGAATTTATTTATTGCATTAAATATATATAGACTGATTTTATAAGCAGAGGCAGTTGTGTTCACAAGAGAAAACCAAATAAGCCACACCCTCATTCTTTATTCAGTCTTGTTTTTGTATTAAGCATCCTTTGATGGTCTAAGGTTCAAAGGAGATATCAGATCAGGATCCCAGCAGATAGTGTCCATTACCTATTCCCTTGTAGTACAGTTTCAGTTTAGAGCAGGGATGTCAAACTCAAGGCCTACGGACCGAATCTGACCCGTGGGGTGCTTAGATCTGGGCCATGGGATCGCCATGGAAACAGCAAAGGGCTGGCCCACAGTGCCTTTGCCAGCAAAAATGGAGCTCAGTAGGGCCACACACCCCCGAGCTCCATTTTACTTGAGATGGCCTCCTGCAACCTTCTGCCAGCAAAAATGGAGCTCAGGATGGCCGCGCACAGCCCCTCTGAGTTCCATTTTTGCTGGCAGAGCGTTCATGCCACTACATGTCCCGACATGAGTGACGTTGAGCTGGCCAAGCTCACCCTGGTCACGTCTACCCAGCCCCCTGAGGTCAAACACAACTCTGATGTGGCCCTCAATGAAATCGAGTGTGACATCCCTGGTTTAGAGGTTTCAATCAGACAGAGGATCTTTTACTACTCACTCAAAGCACTAAGTACTGTCACTTGACCAAGAACCTAAAGACGGCTAGCTAACTTCAGAAGCATTGATTTTCTCAGTCTCTAGCAGACTCCCTCCCCCCATCTCCAACATAACTGGCCTATGCACAACACATTTGTGTCCACATCTTTTGCTTCTGATTCCCAGTTTCTGAGAACCACATTACCTCTCTCTGACTCTAACAATTAACAACATGTACCAGACTTTCTGACACATAGCCTGCTGCCATGACCCAATTTGGATAACTTCCTTTGTGATTGCTTATTATAGAAATCAGGCAGGCAGGCAAGAAGAATAAAAATATGACGAGAATAACATATTCTAGGCAGTTTTCTTTGAATGAGAACTTCCCAATTAGCTTGTAAATTATTACTTTACCATCATTGACCAATGTAATGGTCAATAAACCACTCCATCATTGATAGTCAACAACAAAAGGCTTCCTTCCTTCCTTCCTTCCTTCCTCCCTCCCTCCCTCCCTCCCTCCCTCCCTTCCTTCCTTCCCCTTGAAATCAGTGTTATCTCTTGGTAACTGCCTGGACCAATCCTCCCTCCCTCCCTCCCTTCCTTCCTTCCCCTTGAAATCAGTGTTATCTCTTGGTAACTGCCTGGACCAATCCCTGCAGTTTTCTTGGCAAGATTTCTGAAGTGATTTATCATTGCCTTTTTTTCTAGGGCTGAGGGAGAATGACTGATCCAAAATCACCCAGCTATTTTTGCTTAATGGTATATGGGAATGACCTTGCAAGACGGGGAGGAGCGCCAGCTGGAGGAATGATTGGCCGAGCAGCAACTGAATAGGGCAAAAGGAAAAGGGGCAAGGAAAATATCTCAGAAGAAACCCTTCTTGGACTGTAAAAGGCCATGGGGGAGAAATGCACTTTCAGATTTACAAGAGTCTGTTAATGTAACTTACCATGATGTAGACTTAGCCCTTCTGGATGTGCTTCCTACATGGATTACTCACAATGCTGACATCATTCTTGCTAGTTTCAACATACATTTCTCCCCGTTCCCTTTGAGTTCTGCCAGGTTAGGGATTATTCTCTTACATAAACAGTGCCATAAACTTAGCTGAATTACTGATTCATCTTTGGCAATGCTCTCTTCTGGTTCTGCAAGACAAAGGTCTTTCCCAGGACCTTTCTTTCCCCAGCTTTAACCACCATAGTGTGGTGACCACACATATGCAGCAAACATGGGTGTGGCACAATTGTGAATCTGTTTAACCGGGCAAAGGTTCCATGGGGAAACTCTTATTATCTAGAAATAAATCCCAGCACTTTCTTGAAGTTGTTTGCCTGTCATGACCTCTTCCATTAAAAGGGCTGTTCTACAGAGTGGTGTCCATCAACTGTATTTTCTGAGTTGATTGTCAGGATATGTAAGTGACAGGCAGCTAACAGATTTTAATCTGAAGAAAGGGAGGAGGAAAGACCCGCTCTGCATATTGTTCTTTGCAATTATTGTGATGGGATTTTAAAGTTCAGATGTTGGGATATGCGGTTCTTGCTTAAACTTTATCTTCCTTCCTACCATAGAAAGTCTGTGAGAAAAGCTTTTTGTGAAGCTATTTTTGTCTTTTACTCGGCTATGCATTAAGTTTGCCAGTGGGAACTCCCTTTTTCAAATGTGGGAAATAAATATCTGTCTTCTCCACAGACTTTTGAAGGAGCCTATCTTTGGAATCTACTGAACAATGTCTTTATTTCTGAGTTTTGTTTCTTTTTTTAGAAGCAAAATAAACTTTAAGTGTGACTATGTCACCTTTGCCTTGTAGTATTTTCTTGTTTATTTATTTAAATGTAAGTTGTGTATGTGTTTACACTCAGTGGCTTGGAGCACAATGTTTATATTCCTCCTCTGAGATATGTAAATATTTACATAACAAAATTTACATAACTATTCAGTACTAGCAGTATTTTCTTCTTTAGATTAGAGCAAAACCTTCTTGCCCAATTTATTTTTGGTTATTTTTCCCCCATCAATTTTGCTGAGAAAAGCACTATTTAGACTATGTAGATTTCACAATTGTTTCTGTGAGGTGCTTAAATCTAAATCACAATTATTGCCATGAGAAGTTTAAATCTAAATTAAAGCACAGCAAGTGCAACAATTCTCATTATTCACATTAGTGTACCTCAACTTTAGCAAGTTTAAATATGTGGACTTCAACTCCCCAAATTCCTCAACCAACATGCTGGTTGGAGAACTTCGAGAGTTGAAGTCAAAATATCTTAAAGCTGCCAAGGTTAAAAAAAATACTAATGCTAATAATCAGTCATGGGACAAAAGGGGGTGCAGTGTGAGAAAATTATGCTAAGAGACATTTAGAAAAACATACAGGTAGATTTCTTCAGTAACAAGGGAACATTATTATTGACTAGTATGCATTTCTTGTTCTGTTTTAGTGGCTTGAAACTCATAAGCATTATGTTCCTAAGCATTATCAGTTTCTAAAGTTTAGAAACTAAACACTTTAGAAACGACAGTTAAACAAACATGGTTAACCTATGCTGAAATACTGCCTTTCTTTTAAGACCTTGTTAAAAACAAGATCTGGAATTGGAAGGTTATATATGTCATTGGACCCTACCAAAGCTGACACATCAGAGCACAGAAAAATTCAACATTGTTCAAGATTGAATGAAGGAAAAGATCTGGCCCATCGAATCTCCAAGAATTGGACACAACTGAATAGATGTTCAATCATCATCATATGTCACTTATAGCTTTCCTATGCACAGCTGATGGAAAAATTTAAATTTGTTAAAAAGTACCATTATTTTAAAAGTTGTAAGGTTGAACTTGAGATGGAATTGTGGAAAAATGATGATCATGTTATTGCTTAGATATATAAATGTTTATTGTTAATGGAAACAGGATGAAGAAGTTAAAAACTATATGATAAGATAGGTAGAAAATCTTGGATAGAATATGCTGTTGGACCAATGAGGAATATGTAGAAGAAAGGACTGAAATTCACATTGAATTCTAACTTTAAAGAACATGTTTATAAAATGATGTTATTGCTGGGTTATTTGATACCCAATAAATTGTTAAAAATGTATAATGGAATTTCAAATATTTGTTGTAAATTTAATCATTCTGATGGTACATTTTTCATCTTTGGTGGATATGTGAGAAAATATCGGGATCAATATGTATTTTGAATCATAAGATTTTTAAAGTAAATTTATAATTGCAACCAGAGGTTTTGTTTTGGGTTAATTGACAATAGACTGAGAGATCTCATGGAACCTTGTTTTTATATATGATAAAAATGGCAAGACTCTTGTGATGACCTGGGGCATGGCACAGAGGCAACATAGGCAGCTGGCAGTTCAAACCTCCCCTTTATTGCTCCAAATTTGCCCAAACACTCCCATGTTTCTGGTAAATGATAACCTGTATGGACACACACCTCTGGCAGCATATGGATGCAAATAGTTCAGCCCAATGCTGTGAGTATCACGGCTGCAAAGCAAGAAATCCAGCAGGGCAAGTTGAGAAGTTCAGGAAAGCCTCCCTTCAGGCTTTCCGTAAAGCCGTTAAAACTTGGCTGTTCCGACAGGCCTGGGGTTGATGAGTTCCCTTCCCCGCTCGAATTGTGTGACTGTTGATTGTTTTTAAATTTTCTCTGTATTCTGTTTGTTGTTTTTGCCTTGTCTGTATTACCCCCTCCCCTGGGTTTGTTAGCCGCCCTGAGTCCCTCCGGGAATAGGGCGGCATATAAATGAAATAAACCTATAACCTATAACCTACCTAGGAAGCAAAGGAGCAAGGTAAGTATCCACATTCAGAAAGAATGCAAGGAATCCAGGAAAGTTCAAATGTTGGCACTTAACACTCCAAGAAGTCAGCGTTTGTTCCCGACAAATGTCCCTCCCTACAATCTCAGTCCCCAGATGTGCGTTATGAAGAGGGGTGGTGTGCTCTCCGCCCAACTATACAAGCCAGTCTGCGCTGTTCTTGCCTTGTCTCCTCTCTCTGTGCTCGAGGATTAGGAGAGGGCGGTCCCTGCTCATCACCTGAGCTCTGTCTCTTATGTTCACTGCTTAGCTTCTCTTGGTCATC